TACAGCGCTGTAGATGAAGATTTATTGTATAGTAAAGAATATTCTGTAATAATTTCGAACATCCTAGTTCTAAAAACTTTGCATCTGCAACTGTTTAAATGTAAAAAGGTAAATGTAAAAACGTTTATTTTGTATAATTTGACAATATTTTGACAAGTGAACACGACATAACCTCTAAGAATCTTCTCTGTAACAAAATAAAAATAGAAGTGACATGCCTCCAAGTTTTCTTCAAGAATTGAATTCCCTTTTGACGGTAAATACTAGTTAATTGATTTAATGCGTTTTTGTGAAACTTTCAATACATGTTTTTTAATTCGTAGCGAACAACCTGAAGACGATTGTAGAATAAGCGAAACCGGTCGTTGAGAACAAAATTTTTAAATAAAATTTAATCTTCAGAAATACATTCTGTATTATTTTCACCGATCAAAAAACCGCTGACAGACTTCTAGGGCAGGTAATACATAAAAAATTAAGATTAAAAGTCTTAATATACATGGGGTCGCAAATGTCTCCTTAACGAGATATAGCGGATCAAAGTTTCTTTAAAATTAAGCATTATCTGCAATGAAAAGCCCTTTTTTAAAAATATTTTCAACTACACTGCTAATTTTGTCAAACGGGCAGTATTTTCGTGCTAAGTGATCAATTATCTATCAATTGGTCCCTTACAAAACTTTGATTAAAGCAACAGTTCTTGATTGAATTAACAAATTTTCTACAAACGTATTTTTCTTAAAAACTATTGCTTTGATCAAAGTTGTGTAAGAGACCAATTGATAGATAATTGATCACTTTGCACGCGTAGAGAGCAATGGCGTAGATAATATTTTTAAAAAAGTGCTTTTTATTGCAGATAATGTTTAATTTTAAAGAAACTTTGATCCGCTATATCTCCCCAACGAGGCATTTCCGACCCCATATATTAAGACTATCCATCTTAATTTTTCTTGTATTATCTACTCTAGAAATCTGTCAGCGGTTTTTTGAATCACCCTGTATATTTTTGTAATCAGAAAAAAATAACGAATTTAATAAGCGAATTATCAGTGGTTGTCAAAATTGTCATAATATTTTTTTGACTACGTCATCAAATTCTCTGTAAAAAACCTATAGTAATAACCGAGATAATTACACTTACAGGTTTTACGATATTTTCAATTTTGGCCTCTAGGGAAAAAACAAAAGATGATAACGCTTTGAAGTTTTCGACATTGGAATTTATTTAAAAAAAGAGATCGAGACATGTAAGCTACTTTTTTTCTAATTCTTATAGTTTCCGAGATAGCCTATTCGAACATAAAATTTGAACCAACCTGTACAGGGTGGGCAAATTTGGGTGTTATTATAGGCTCTATCTCAAAAACTATAAGAGATACGAAAAAAGTAGGTGCCATGTCCCGGTGTCTTTCTTCGAAACTAAACCAATCCTGCAAACACCAAACCTCTATCTTCTTTTGTTTTTAAGTTATAGCCAAAAAGTCAAATTTTCGTGATTTCAAAAAATGCTCATATTTCGTTTATTTTTGAAATTAGAGAAATGGGGTTAATACGTTCTTAAGATACTTTTTTAAGTAGAATATACTGCCGTTAAAAAATTTTAAAAATATTTGATGATTTTTGAGATACAACACAAAGTTGTATTTTTTTAAATACAAACTATAGTACATTATGGTGTTACTGAAAAGAGCATATTTTTAGCCTTCCAATGATGTATTGCACGCAAATTTTTCAACGGCAGTATATTCTAATTAAAAAAGTATCTTAAGAACGTATCAACCCCATTTCTCTAATTTCAAAAATAAATGAAATATGAGCATTTTTTGAAATCACGAAAATTTGACTTTTTGGCTATAACTTAAAAACAAAAGAAGATAGAGGTTTGGTGTTTGCGGGATTGGGTTAGTCTCGAAAAAAGACGTTCGTATCTCTTATAGTTTCTGAGATAGCCTATAATAACACCCAAATTTGCCCACCCTGTACAGTAATAAAGAATACGTAGATATGCTTATTATTTATGGAGCTGCTGGAGAAAACGCTGCACACGCAAGACGTCTGTATTTAGAACAATATCCAAATCGACAGATCCCTTCTGAAAACACTTTTCTTCGGTTAATCCAGCGGGGAAGAGAGACAGGAAATTTGCAACCTAAGAAAGGTCTTGGTGGCGGTAGACTAAACAGACATGGAGTGAATGTGGAAGAAGAAATTCTAGAAATTGTGGAAGCGGATNTTTTAAGGTATTCGGGGATGGTTTCCGTTTTCGCGGATATCGAGCAGCAAATGTATCGCATGTTCTTGTTAAAACTTTGTTACATTCTCCATAGATAATAAATAGATTTAGATAATCTTCATTAGTATAATTTAAACGTGCGGGCATAGTGAATTTTATAAATGATATAATGACATTTGTGTTACCTTCATTTGTTTCTCGGTAGTCATGGCCGTCTTTGACACAAAATTGTTTTGAATAATCTTAAACTATTTAAAACGAAAATTACAAAGAAACGGCGATAGTTAGATATAGGGAACCTTACATAAAGTTACCTTTATTTTTAATGTAGATTCAGATACAATTAAAAAAATATATGGTTTCCATTTAATTTTTTTGAGTTTTTCGCTTTTTCTTATATAAATATTTGGCAGCTTTTTTTGAACACCCTGTATGTAGTAGGACAACATATGAGCTACCAAAAGTTAAGCTATAGTCTCTTCTTCAAATTCCTTTCATCAGATATAACAAATACTTAACTGGTTTGCGCCATTGTAAGTTTCACAAAAAAGTAGCTCAGGTTCGCGAAAGCCGCAACTTTCTACCTCTCATAATAACTGAGATACCCTGCAAACCCATCGAAATTTGGACACCCTGTACATTGCAATGTTGAATTTACTTTAGAAATTGGAAATTAACAGTGGCGGCTAAATTATAAAACAAATTCAATAAAATGACAAGAAAAAAATTTGGCACTGTTTGCAGAAGACTGTCAGAAAAGTAAATACTGCTTTCGGTAGAATAAATAGTTTTGGCAGAGGAGTTGACACTACTGAAGACTAACTACTGCTGATAGAAAACTAGATACTGCTAATAGAATACTAGATACTTCTTCTCCAAGACAAGGTGCTATTTGCTGAATAGATAGGAGTTAGTGCATGCATAAAAAATATTGAGTAAAGTTTAGCAAAACAAAGTAACTATCATTATTCTTATAACTGAAATACAATTTAAGCATTACAATACATTGTTTTAAATAATCCGGGTGGTTAAAAAATCTGTGGAGTTTTTTTTTTACTTTTCGATATGAGCCATCATTACTCTACGACCACACAACACCTTGTTTGCATTCAAAAGCATTCCGACCATAATCGAAAAGTAGAAAATCTGGGCTTCACCTACTGCGTTTTCTTTTCAAGCAACATGCAAACCGGTCGGAAACCTTCTCAGTTGGAAAGTAACGCAGCGCACGTTCCCCTCGACATTGAGAACCATTGAAAACGATAACAATTTCGGAAAATGGAAAAACAGGGTTTTCTGTTTCTCTATCCAAACACGACCCACCGCGTTTTATCGTATTCGAAAAAAAAAACTAACAAAATTTCCGATGTTGTAACAAGTAACAAGTAAACAAATTGTTTTAAATGGGTTTTCGATGTCGCTAAAATATATTACTTCATCAATTTTTTTGTTTCATCCGGTTTCTAAAGCATCTCATTGATCAATATTTTTTTGGCGTGATATCGAATTTCAATTGAAGTGAATATAGAAATAAGCCTCTTATATCTTAAGCGCTTGTGGTTTTAACACAATAAGGACAAATCAGTAATCAATCATTTCGAATTTATATTCCATTTTTGCGGAAACGAAGGCCATTGTCTGGTTGCGTAGTTTCCAATACTGGACGATCTCCCCTAATTCTCCTACGATAGCAGCAAAAAAGTCAAGTGTTCAGACAAGCTTCCAACGACGAACAGTATGCGTTCAATCATTTATCTTGACATCTTCGAATTTTATTGTTCCGACCCGATGTTATCCAACGTTTTTTTTTATTTTCTTAAAAATTTGTAATATATTTTCTCCAAGATAAACATCGTCGTTTAGATATACAACAGCTCCACCTCTCGAGTTCTACCCTTTCTCTGTTTCTTAATACTATTTATTGCGCTTGGGTGCTTTTCACACAGATAATCCCTTGTATCTTTGCAAGTTTAAGGGTTTTAGGACCCTTCGTAACCACAGAATAGTTTGAAATGTTTAAGTAGTCATTAAAAGTCCTCCTTTAATTACAATTATATATGTTCTTGTGTTTTTTTACAGGAACGATTATTAAAACTGACGATGGTCTAAGCGTGTCATAAAGTCGGAGGGGTCTAAATATTAAAGGTTTAGCCTAAAATGAGCACCAAAGTTGGCGACATAAGCCCCAAAAGTTATTAAACGCGCTGTAAAATTTTACCGCTTTATAAAGTCTCGTTGCTTTGGCGTCAAAATTCGTCGGTTCACATCTTCATTCGAGTTTCTTTCTGATTATTTCATCCCCACGCTTTACGCGAATGCGAAATTTTTATAGGAAACGTTTCGACGAGAGCTACAAGACATTAAATTTTACATTTTCCTCCTGGTAATCGACCGCGACATTTTTATTATCGGAATTAGATGTTGTAAAATTTTACAGTAGAGATCGTAAACTAGTCTGTTTAAATCTTCACGTATTACATCATTGAAAAGGGGGCACTTTAACCTAACTGCATCATAAGTTTAGATATACGGATTTTGTTTCTAGTTTTAGGTTTAGTGTTTGTTCTAATTTTAGTTTTATAAAAATATACAACAATCTAGCGCTGAATAACAATTAAAACTAGACCGAGAAGTTTCGGGTTTAGCCGTGCGTCTTCAGACGTAGTAATAGAAGATTTGACACTGCTTGCAGATAATTGCAGAATACTAGATACTGCTTGAAAAAGACTACCTATTGCTTACACAAACTAAATACTGGTGGCAGAGGACTAGATATTAAGAAAGGAAGACTAGATACTACTATCAGAAGATATTATGGTCACTCTAATTTGAACTGCATCATATTCCTTGGCATTTCTAAAATAGGAAGTATGAAAAATAATATTTTTGCCACTTTTTATTTCATTAAAACTTCACTTTTTCTTGAATTTTAGTAAATTTCGAGTTGAGCAGAATTTATGGTCACTCTAGTTTGAACTGTAACATGTTCCTCATGACCTCTAAAATAGCAAGTATGAACAAAAAAATTCATTTACTGTTTTCTATTTCTTTGCAACACTAGTTTTTCTTAAATTCTAGCATTCAGAAACCAGAAGTAAGTTCGAAGTGTTCAAAATATAGAATAACTTGGTGCGGAATAACAGCTAAAACTAGAATTAGCTTAACATAATCACTAGAACTAACATTAAACCTAGAACTAGAAATATTTAGGATTCTCGAATGTTTTTAGTTCTAGGTTTAGTGTTTGTTCTAGTTTTAGTTCCATAAAAATATACAACAATCTAACGCTGAATAACAATTAAAACTAGAACTAGAAAGTTTCGGGTTTAGCCGTGCGTCTTCAGACGTAGTAATACAAGATTTGGAACCGCTTGTAGATATTTGCAGAATACTTGAAAAAGACAACCTGCTGATTGCACAAACTAGATACTGGTGGCAGAGGACTAGATATTAAGAAAGGAAGACTAGATACTACTATCAGAAGATATTATGGTCACTCTAATTTGAACTGCATCATATTCCTTGGCATTTCTAAAATAGGAAGTATGAAAAATAATATTTTTGCCACTTTTTATTTCATTAAAACTTCACTTTTTCTTGAATTTTAGTAAATTTCGAGTTGAGCAGAATTTATGGTCACTCTAGTTTGAACTGTAACATGTTCCTCATGACCTCTAAAATAGCAAGTATGAACAAAAAAATTCATTTACTGTTTTCTATTTCTTTGCAACACTAGTTTTTCTTAAATTCTAGCATTCAGAAACCAGAAATAAGTTCGAAGTGTTCAAAATATAGAATAACTTGGTGCGGAATAACAGCTAAAACTAGAATTAGCTTAACATAATCACTAGAACTAACATTAAACCTAGAACTAGAAATATTTAGGATTCTCGAATGTTTTTAGTTCTAGGTTTAGTGTTTGTTCTAGTTTTAGTTCCATAAAAATATACAACAATCTAACGCTGAATAACAATTAAAACTAGAACTAGAAAGTTTCGGGTTTAGCCGTGCGTCTTCAGACGTGGTAATACAAGATTTGGAACCGCTTGTAGATATTTGCAGAATACTTGAAAAAGACAACCTGCTGATTGCACAAACTAGATACTGGTGGCAGAGGACTAGATATTAAGAAAGGAAGACTAGATACTACTATCAGAAGATGTTATGGTCACTCTAATTTGAACTGCATCATATTCCTTGGCATTTCTAAAATAGGAAGTATGAAAAATAATATTTTTGCCACTTTTTATTTCATTAAAACTTCACTTTTTCTTGAATTTTAGTAAATTTCGAGTTGAGCAGAATTTATGGTCACTCTAGTTTGAACTGTAACATGTTCCTCATGACCTCTAAAATAGCAAGTATGAACAAAAAAATTCATTTACTGTTTTCTATTTCTTTGTAACACTAGTTTTTCTTAAATTCTAGAATTCAGGAACCAGAAATAAGTTCGAAGTGTTCAAAATATAGAATAACTTGGTGCGGAATAACAGCAAAAACTAGAATTAGCTTAATATAATCACTAGAACTAACATTAAACCTAGAACTAGAAATATTTAGGTTTCTCGAATGTTTTTAGTTCTAGGTTTAGTGTTTGTTCTAGTTTTAGTTCCATAAAAATATACAACAATTTAACGCTGAATAACAATTAAAACTAGAACTAGAATGTTTCGGGTTTAGCCGTGCGTCTTCAGACGTAGTAATACAAGATTTGGCACCGCTTGTAGATATTTGCAGAATACTTGAAAAAGACAACCTGCTGATTGCACAAACTAGATGCTGGTGGCAGAGGACTAGATATTAAGAAAGGAAGACTAGATACTACTATCAGAAGATATTATGGTCACTCTAATTTGAACTGCATCATATTCCTTGGCATTTCTAAAATAGGAAGTATGAAAAATAATATTTTTGCCACTTTTTATTTCATTAAAACTTCACTTTTTCTTGAATTTTAGTAAATTTCGAGTTGAGCAGAATTTATGGTCACTCTAGTTTGAACTGTAATATGTTCCTCATAACCTCTAAAATAGCAAGTATGAACAAAAAAATTCATTTACTGTTTTCTATTTCTTTGCAACACTAGTTTTTCTTAAATTCTACCATTCAGAAACCAGAAGTAAGTTCGAAGTGTTCAAAATATAGAATAACTTGGTGCGGAATAACAGCTAAAACTAGAATTAACTTAACATAATCACTAGAACTAACATTAAACCTAGAACTAGAAATATTTAGGTTTCTCGAATGTTTTTAGTTCTAGGTTTAGTGTTTGTTGTAGTTTTAGTTCCATAAAAATATACAACAATCTAACGCTGAATAACAATTAAAACTAGAACTAGAATGTTTCGGGTTTAGCCGTGCGTCTTCAGACGTAGTAATACAAGATTTGGAACCGCTTGTAGATATTTGCAGAATACTTGAAAAAGACAACCTGCTGATTGCACAAACTAGATGCTGGTGGCAGAGGACTAGATATTAAGAAAGGAAGACTAGATACTACTATCAGAAGATATTATGGTCACTCTAATTTGAACTGCATCATATTCCTTGGCATATCTAAAATAGGAAGTATGAAAAATAATATTTTTGCCACTTTTTATTTCATTAAAACTTCACTTTTTCTTGAATTCTAGTAAATTTCGAGTTGAGCAGAATTTATGGTCACTCTAGTTTGAACTGTAACATATTCCTCATGACCTCTAAATTAGCAAGTATGAACAAAAAAATTCATTTACTGTTTTCTATTTCTTTGCAACACTAGTTTTTCTTAAATTCTAGCATTCAGAAACTAGAACTAAGTTCGAAGTGTTCAAAATATAGAATAACTTGGTGCGGAATAACAACTAAAACTAGAATTAACTTAACATAATCACTAGAACTAACATTAAGCCTAGAACTAGAAATATTTAGGTTTCTCGAACGTTTTTAGTTCTAGGTTTAGTATTTGTTCTAGTTTTAGTCCCAAAAAATATACAACAATCTAACGCTGAATAACAATTAAAACTAGAACTAGAAAGTTTCGGGTTTAGCCGTGCGTCTTCAGTCGTAGTAATACAAGATTTGGCACCGCTTGTAGATATTTGCAGAATACTTGAAAGAGACAACCTGCTGATTGCACAAACTAGATACCGGTGGCAGAGGACTAGATATTGAGAAAGGAAAACTAGATACTACTATCACAAGATGTTATGGTCATTCTAGTTTGAACTGCATCATATTTCTTGGCATTTCTAAAATAGGAAATATAAAAAATATTTTTGCCACTTTTTATTTCATTAAAACTTCACTTTTTCTTGAATTTTAGTAAATTTCGAGTTGAGCAGAATTTATGGTCACTCTAGTTTGAACTGTAACATGTTCCTCATGACCTCTAAAATAGCAAGTATGAACAAAAAAATTCATTTACTGTTTTCTATTTCTTTGCAACACTAGTTTTTCTTAAATTCTAGCATTCAGAAACCAGAAATAAGTTCGAAGTGTTCAAAATATAGAATAACTTGGTGCGGAATAACAGCTAAAACTAGAATTAGCTTAACATAATCACTAGAACTAACATTAAACCTAGAACTAGAAATATTTAGGATTCTCGAATGTTTTTAGTTCTAGGTTTAGTGTTTGTTCTAGTTTTAGTTCCATAAAAATATACAACAATCTAACGCTGAATAACAATTAAAACTAGAACTAGAAAGTTTCGGGTTTAGCCGTGCGTCTTCAGACGTAGTAATACAAGATTTGGAACCGCTTGTAGATATTTGCAGAATACTTGAAAAAGACAACCTGCTGATTGCACAATCTAGATACCGGTGGCAGAGGACTAGATATTAAGAAAGGAAGACTAGATACTACTATCACAAGATGTTATGACCATTCTAGTTTGAACTGCATCATATTCCTTGGCATTTCTAAAATAGGAAGTATAAAAAATAATATTTTTGCCACTTTTTATTTCATTAAAACTTCACTTTTTCTTGAATTTTAGTAAATTTCGAGTTGAGCAGAAATTATGGTCACTCTAGTTTGAACTGTAACATGTTCCTCATGACCTCTAAAATAGCAAGTATGAGCAAAAAAATTCATTTACTGTTTTCTATTTCTTTGCAACACTAGTTTTTCTTAAATTCTACCATTCAGAAACCAGAAATAAGTTCGAAGTGCTCAAAATATAGAATAACTTGGTGCGGAATAACAGCTAAAACTAGAATTAGCTTAACATAATCACTAGAACTAACATAAAGCCTAGAACTAGAGATATTTACCGAATGTTTTACCAGCCTGTACATTCAAGTAATTTTTGTAAATCTTGCAGTGAATTTCGGAGTAACAAACAAGCCGAGAAACGCATACATACAAGTTTTGTTTTGAGTAAAAATTTTTTCAGTCCCATAAATTTTGTAACAACTGCTAAAAGTGTTTCGATTCCCACCAACACAATTTCTGTGGTGAATTACAATTGTATGTGTCCGAAAATAATACTCTGAGGTCAAGAGAGATCTGTGAATTATTGGACATCGATGCCACCCACGACGGTTGTGGTCTAATGCTCTACAATCGAAGGGCGGTGTTAAAGACGTCAGTTCAAGGTATTCAAGAATGAAAAAACGACGTCCTCCAAACCGCTCGTCGCGTCGACAGATTGTGTGTAAAGAAGCAGTGTATAAAAACCGCGTAAATTATTTTCATTGGCAGGTCATCGAGATCTGCCAAACGGTGTGAAAAATTCTTTTCATAAAACGCGTAAACGAAATCTAGAGGGTGCATTTTAGTTAACTTATTCTTGTCGTTTTTGTAATAATGGTTTAAGGTTACTGAATCAAATAAGAGGGTAATAAATTTTGTATTAAGCTTTCGTTTTTACCCGATCGTAAATTATCACGTTCACGCTTAAATAACGACTTTATTTTATGTTACTTAGTTAATGTATAAATAAAGATAGGGTTATAAAGAAAATCGAAACTAAATGTGTGTCTTAATATCAGTATAAATACAAAAGGCAAATGTATTTGATCATTTCAGTTCGTAGCATCAAAGCTATGTTCCCTTTAAAATTAAATCTATTAATACTTTTTATAACTTTTACTTTTTTAAACGGCGATATTAATCTGATGTCTCTTTCAGACGAGAAAAACTTTTCAGTATTTCGCAAGTTAAAATTAAGCTTTATTGATTACTATGGTATCGACGTCGTGATGCCGAGGGAAATGATTTCATCCGAGATGATAGATTATATCCTCAGTGGGAATTTTATAAGAAGCCCGGTTAAGATCACGTCGTACGATGAAAAAAGAGTCTATTATAAATCTCACATATTTTTCGCTAACGATCTTTCCGATATCATCGATTTCTCAAATTACCTTCGAAAGAGTTACAACACGATTGGTAAAATCTATTATATTTTGTGCGAACCGATAGAAAATGATTCCCAAGAAATGTGGAAGCCGATATTTGAGAAATTGTGGAAATATAAGTTGTTACATTACCTTATTTTAAACACTAAAGGTGTCACTCCTGCAATGTCGTATAATCCTTTTGAAGGAATAATTATGGAAATAAAAAAATTTCGTAGAAGCTTTTACACCAACGATAATCTCTTAAAAGACGTAAAGGGATATAGAATAAAATTAACATCCATCGAAAAATATTTTGAATTTAATCACGTCGATTATTACCCAACCGACCAAGCCCTTGTTAGAACTTTTATTAAGTTTATTAACGCTTCAATTGAACACATTTCATTTGAACATATCATCCACAGCGGTTTTCGCATAAAAACAGATTTTGGGCTTGCCCCAGGTTTGGTTTCGTCTCTTTTACTTAACATGTCTTATCTATATCCTTATAGAAGAGATGATTTTGAGGTGGTAGTTCCACATCGGGGGCAACTACTCTCAAAACATTTAGCATCTAGAATATTTGATAACTACGTGTGGTGTGCATTAATCGTTGCGATGTTTATTGCATTGCTAACTCTTCTCATAATTAAACTAATTTTGAAAGAATCATTCGAAAACATTAAACTAATATTTCATTTTATGGGAGTAATGTTTCAAGTTCCTACGCCCCATTTAAACGTTAACGTTAAAGCGTGGCCTGTTAAATTTATTTGGATTAGTTGGCTTTTTATTTGTTTGATTTTGCACACCGCGTTTTCTTCGATATTAATAAGCGCGCTTGTTAAACCACCCGCTGAAGACGAAATCAACACCATCGAAGAACTTTTAGAGAGTGATTTAAACATAACGTTAGTGACGAGATTCGCCTCAATTTTTCATCAATCAAACAATCCAACATCGAAAGCTATAGCCGACCGATTAATTTTGGGCACAAGAAATGATATAATTAATAAATTAATGTCTGGCGATACTTCTTCAGCGTACTCTTTAAGACGATCCGATTTGCGTTCGTTAAAATTACCAACAATTAATGGAAAAAAAGTGTATCATATAATGAATCAATACTTGATACCTTGCCTTTCAACCGTTGGATTTGGACTTGGAAATGTGTTTGATAAAAGGATGCAATTAGTTGTTTCACGGTTATTTGAAGGAGGGATATTAAATCGTAAAAAAAGGCAAAAAGTTATCGTGGAACAAGTTGAATATCAAATCGAGTTTAACCATTGGTATTGGATATTATTTTTGTATTTTATGGGATGCGTTTTGGCTGTTATTACATTTTTCTTGGAGTTACTTTGGTGTAAACTCGCTAAGATTAAATTCAAAGGTATATACAATATACAATATATGATGCAGTAACCATAGTTACGAAACTACTATGCACTTGCATTGTCCCACATAAAATGCAACATAGCTTAAAAGTACAGGCATTGGGTTGTTTTGCAAAGGAAAAGTTTTGCTTGGAAAAAGGTGAGGTCTTTATAATAACCCTGAGTTTTGACTGTCTTATGAGACTCTCGGCTAAACCAGAATGATTCTAGAGTTCTAGTTATAGTGTTAGTTCTACATATCTATGATAAAATCATTTTTTATACAGGGTGCCCATTATGTATGGAATATAGTATATATCTTGATAGGTATCAACTTTATAAAAAAACATTTTATACAAATTGTTTCAATTGTTTTTATTTCAGAAAACAAATGAGCAACGAATAACACTTGAAGTTTTTTAAATGGCAATGTACCCTTTCGTTAGGCTCATTTGATAGAGATTTCTTTTCTCTTTACGATGACGTAAAATTTTAGTACCCTTGTATCAGAAAATTTTTTAAAACATGTAAAAATTGCTTATTAAGAAAATTTAACTAATAACAGTAATCTAGATATCCGAGATCGTCAAATACCTCGAAGTACCTCGAATTATTGGAGATGTATACTAATTTTTCGTTTATTTGTTTTATTTTGCACGTAAATTTAATTTACGGTAATAATTTGAGATCTCGGGTATCTAGATTAATGTTATTGATTTATTTTTATTAATAAGCAATTTTAACATTTTTTTCAAAAATTTTCTAACGTAAGGGTACAAAAATTTTACGCCATCGTAAAGAGAAAAGTAATCTTTATCAAATGAGCCTAACGAAAGAATACATTGCCATTTAAAAAAATGTAAGTATTATTCGTTACTCATTTGTTTTTTCAATTGAAAACAATTGAATGCAGTCTTATTATGGCAAATAAAATATTAAACAACTTTTGTATAAAATGTTTTTTTATGAAGTTGATACTTACCAAGATATATGTGCTATATTCCATACATAATGGGCACCCTGTATATAAAAAAAATTGTAAATTTTATAGAGCACTTTAAATTGTATATATTTTAATATGATAAGAAATCTAACTAAGAAATACAGAAGAAACGACGTTTTTCGGGGATAGAATTCTGATGTTTTGTAACTTTCTAAAAACATTCACAAATTCGAGAAAAACCTGATACATGTTTAATATTTTAATTTATGCTTTTGGGAGTTTAAAGAAACTGATTCAACCCAACTTAGCCATACATATAATTCTTTCAAGGTCCTTCACATATCTGACGGTAAAACTCATTTCATTTAATTGCTTAATGTTCATCACTAACCTCTTGTTAATGTTTTTAGTCGTGCCTGAAGAAGACAGCCAAGCTGTCGAAACATGATTGCAAAAATAAGGTCTAGTAAATTGTAGGTCTAGTGTTGGTTCTAGTTTTACACTAACACTGTTACTAGAACTAACATTAGACCTAAAACCAGACACATTTGCATTTAGCCGTACGTCTTTTAAGACGACTAAACCCGAATGATTGTAGTTCTTGGTCTAGCACTGCATAACAATTAAAACTACAACTAACACTAGACCTAGAACTAGAAACATTCGGGTTTAGCCGTGCGTCTTCAGACCCACGGCTAAACCCGAAACTTTCTAGGTCTAGTGTTAGTTCTAGTTTTACACTTACACTGTTACTATGTAGAACTAACACTATAGTTAGAACTAGAAACATTTGGGTTTAGCCACACGTCTCTAAAGACGGCTAAACCCAAATATTTCTAGTTCTAACGTTAGTTGTAATGACAGTGTAAGTGTAAAACTAGAACTAACACTATACCTAGAACTAGAATCATTTGGGTTTAGCCGTCTTAAGAGACGTGCGGCTAAACCCAAATGATTCTAGTTCTAGGTATAGTGTTAATTCTACATAGTAACAGTGCTAGTGTAAAACTAGATTCTAGTTCTTGGTCTAGAGCTGCATAACAATTAAAACTAAAACTAACACTAGACCTAGAACTAGAAAGTTTCGGGTTTATCCGTGCGTCTTCAGACCCACGGCTAAACCCGAAACTTTCTAGTTCTAGATGTAGTGTTAGTTCTAGTTTTACACTTACACTGTTACTATGTGGGTAGAACTAACACTATAGCTAGAACTAAAAACAGTTGGGTTTAGCCACACGTCTCTAAAGACGGTTAAACCCAAATGTTTCTAGTTCTAACGTTAGTTCTAGTGACTGTAAGTGTAAAACTAGAACTAACACTATACCTAGAACTAGAATCATTTGGGTTTAGCCGCACGTCTCTGAAGATACACTCTACATAGTAACAGTGCTAGTGTAAAACTAGAACTAACACTATACCTAGAACTAGAATCATTTGGGTTTAGCCGCACGTCTCTTAAGACGGCTAAACCCGAATGATTCTAGTTCTAGGTATAGGGTTAGTTCTACATAGTAACAGTGTTAGTGTAAAACTAAAACTAACTGTAGACCTAGAAACATTCTGAAGACGCACGGCTAAACCCGAAACTTTCTAGTTTTAGGTCTAGTGTTAGTTCTAGTTTTAATTGTTATGCAGCGCTAGACCAAGAACTAGAATCATTCGGGTTTAGCCGTCTTAAAAGACGTACTGCTAAACCCAAATGGTTCTAGTTCTAAGTCTAATGTTACTTCTAGTACCAGTGCTAGTGTAAAACTAGAACTAACCCTAGACTGTATTGATCCGTTATATCGAGGTTTTGCTCTAATGTCAAATTATATTAACATGTTGTATTTTATGTGGGACAAAGTAACTGGTTTAAATTGTAATTATTTATAAGCTGTTAATTTGGTTGCCTATATTTATGTCAAAATTATTATTAATTAAAAAACATTTTCATTTTTTAGATGTCACCTCGTTGATTTTCCAACATTAACAAACTGCAAATTCCAAAAGGCAATAAACCACAATAGCATTATGAATAATTACCATATCCTTGCACAAAAATTATTGCTTAATATTTTCAAAGAACTTGAAGACGTCTTTCATATATCTACATTTCTGCGTTAATGTCTCTATATTAATGAATATAGGGTTCCCATGCCATTTCTGAAACCGAAATGAGCAACACAGATTCGTCTTTCACAAGTTTTATATGTATATAGTACTCAAGAAAAATTTCACGACGTGTGACATCAAGGTAATCATCACATTAAGTAGCATTAGCTTTAACAGAACTAAACTATATTAGTATTTTGATTGTTTTAAATTAATCCCAGTTTATTGCTTGCTTTATTTGTAATAGAGACACTAATTACTCTGCTATTTGAGCATGGAAATGCATTTACGCATTAATTGCTAATTGGGTTGCCTATACAAAAACTAAAAAATTTGTAATATTATGAAACATAAAATATTTCAATCAAAATAAAGTTTTAAATGTAACCTTGTGGATTTTCCAACACCTCGAACTCTAATAGTATTTGTGAATGATGAATTGAGTTGTCGTATCCGCACATAAAAAATTGTTGCGGTTTGCGGCTTGATATTTCAACTAATTTTTTTTTTCATTTAAATCTCTTAACCACACGGAACAACATGGGTATATATAATTAATAGGATTACATAAACACTTTAAATTTTTTATCATTAACTAAACAATTCGTTTCAACAATGAATACTCTTAACCATAACAAAGAAAAAGATAAACTAAACTCGGCAACTGATGCACTTAAAATAGATATGTGCATAGAAATGGTCAACATCCTCAATATAAAAGCGTCTGTACGCATTCAATCGGGATAGTCGTAGCATCGTGTCAATTCAATTATAATGGAAATTCGCAACGTCGAACAATTGTTAGAACCATATTTACAAAATGGTAAAAAATTAGTTAATTTTAATAAAAAGAAATTATTATCAGCTGGGGAAAATTATGGTAGTATAATGTTAAAAGTAGAATTTGTGATCGCAGATGAATCTAATCAAAAGCAAGAAGTGATTAAGTGCGTCGCTAAATTAGTTCCACCAAGAGGAATTTTATGGGATATCTTCGACACAGTGTCCACTTTCAAGAAAGAAATCGCAGTTTATAACACAATAGTACCAGCGTTAAATCAATTTGGACGAGAACACGGTATAGAATGTATATTACCATACTTTGCTGAATATTGTAATTCTAGAGTTACGCTACAACCCAACAGCTGCGACGTTGACGATGATGCGGTGTTATTATTAAACAATTTGCAAGAGGATGGTTACGAAGTTGAAGATAGATTCGTTGGTTTCGATAAAGAATCTGTAATAATGATTATTAAAAGTTTAGCAACACTTCACGCAACATCAATTGCTTATAAACTTTCTAAACCGGATGAGTTCCAAAACAAAGTGTTAAAGCACATTGAGAAATGCTTAGTAGGCAAACTTGATGAAACAGCACAAAATACTCAAATCGATTGCTTTAAAACATTTCTTGCAAAATATCCTAACTTAACGCATCTATCTCAACAAATGATTAATTCATACCGTCAAGGAATAAAGAAATTATGCCAAGAAAGAACACCAATAGAACCATTTGCTACTTTTGTTCACGGTGATCTTTGGACGAACAACATATTAATAAAATCAATCAATAAAAATCCAGTATCTATCAAATTCGTTGATTTCCAAGTTATTGAATACGGAAATCCTGCGAGAGATGTAATTTTCTTTCTTTATACAAGTGCCCAAATGGAATTATTACAATTTATCGACGATTACTTGTTAATTTATCATAACCACTTTATTGACACATTAAAATTATTAAATTGTGATCCAAATCCGTTCAATTATGATACATTTTTAAAACAAGTTGATGACGCTGCTAAAGAAATAGAATTCGCCCACGTGATGTTTATTCTGCCTCCAGTGTTTACCGAAAAAGGGAAAGCGGTAGAACTTAGCGATATGAAAGATCAGAATGATATCGTATCTTCAGTTGACCGAATACATGTGAATTATCAATCCAGATTTGCATTTGTCCTTGAAGATTTTGCGAAAAGAGGGTGGATATAACGTTTAAAACTTAAATTTTTTAGCAAACTGTTTTTATTATTTTTATTAATAAACTACTAATCTAAATAATAATACGTTTATCTTTTTTACTGTAATTTTCCTAATTTTTAACTAGTTGTTATCTTATATCTTCAAGTTTTATTTATTAAACAGCATCAAAAAGTTTTTGAAGTGAGTGGATCTAAAATGCATTCTTAACAGATAGGTATACAGTTTTAGAGGTTTATAGTGAAGTAAGTTCTTGGTCCATACAGACACTAAGAAGGAGTGACCACAACAGCAAGGCTAATTACCTTATTTATGGACCTTGAAACTTAATACTGCTTTGATTAAACATTAGATCCTGCTTGAAGAAGATAAGATACTCGTTGCAGAACTGGTCGCATAAGACTAGATACTGCTTTTAGAACACTAGACACTACTGGCAGAGGTCTACACTGCTAATAAATAAAATTATTATAAATAAGATACAGCTATTAGACAATTAAATATTGCTTGCAGTGGACTACTTAGTGCTTATTGAAAACTTGTTATTATTCATAAAAGGCTAGACACTGCCGGCAGAAGACTACATACTGCATGTAGAAGATTAGATACTGCTGGAAAAGGACTGAATACCGCAACTGAATAATTAGTAGTTGCTACTACCATCCTAGATACTGTGCTGGTAGAAAATTAGATAACGCTCATGGAAGACTAGGTACTACTGACAGACACTTAGACAGTTAATAAAAAACTAGATATCATTTTAAGTCGTACAAAGACTTGAGAAACTATACTAACTCAGCAATCCGTCGGGAAAAAAAGGCTTATCTTTCTTTAATATTTCATAACAATAATTCTCGTAAACTCTGGAACAATCTCAAGTCGTTTGGAGTATGTGGTGCTAAAACGAAGTCAATTCCGTCTACTGTGGGAAATGCTGATGATATTAATAATTTTTTTCTTTCCTCTCAAAATCAACATGATTGTGATCCCAACTTATTGCACTTCTACAATACTAATAGATTATCTTCTGTTTCTACAGAATTTTCCTTTTCTTTAGTTTCTGAGGAAGAGGTTTTGGAAGCGCTTAATCGAATTAAAACAAATGCTGTTGGTAGTGATGGAGTTACGAAGCAGATGCTTTTATTAAGTTCTCCGGTGACACTGCCGTACATGTGCCACATTATCAACTTTTGCATCGAGGGGTCGGTCTATCCGAGGCAGTGGAGGGGTGCTCTTGTTAAACCTGTACCTAAAACTGGAACGGTTGCTTGTTTGCAGGATCTTAGGCCTATAAGTATTTTGCCGGTCTTTTCTAAAGTATTTGAAAGATTATTGTCCACTAGGTTGTGGTCACATTTAAATGCGCATTGTATACTACCTAGCTTGCAGTCGGGTTTCCGTTCTGGGTATAGCTGCACTACGACTCTTTTGGATATCACGGATGATGTTCTACGTGGTATCGATGACGGGTTGGCCACGGCTCTGGTCTTGCTTGACTTTTCCAAAGCTTTTGATACTTTGCATCATTCGCTGCTGGTTGGAGTGCTTGGGTATATTGGACTGTCGGGGTCTGCTCTCAATCTTATTCAGAATTATCTTTGTTACCGTTCACAGCGAGTAGCTTGTAATGGTGAGTTATCTGCACAAGTTGAGGTCGTGTCGGGTGTGCCGCAGGGTTCTATTCTTGGCCCAATTCTGTTTTCAATTTATACTTCCCAACTGTGTTTGGCTGTAAAGCACTGTACTGCGCACATGTATGCTGATGATATTCAATTATACTACACTTTTCCAACATCAAATCTAGCTGTGGCTGAAAGTAATATTAATGCTGACTTGAAGGCCTTGGTCAATACTGCTAATGAGCACAGCTTAAGGATAAATCCATCTAAGTCATCGGTGATGGTCTTTGGGAGCCGGGGTGTTTTGGACGAAGTCAGGGATGGGTTGAGCTTGAAGATTGACTCTGATGTTTTGCAGGTTGCTGAAAGTGCAAGGAATTTGGGTATCATTATTGACAGTAAACTTAGATTTGACTCGTACATTGGTAGTCTACTGCGTCGTGCATATGCAGCGTTAAAATTGCTCTATAATAGTAGGCATTTATTGGAACAGCAACTGCGGATACGCTTGTGTGACGCCCTGGTTCTCTCGATCTTTAATTACGGTGATGTATTATATGGCCCTTGTATTGATAATATTCACAAGGTAAGAATTCAAAGAGTTCAGAATGCGTGCTTACGTTTTATTTATGGCATTAGGAAATATGCGAGTATCTCATACACCTTAAAATGGGTGGGCTGGTTGAATATGTCACGTCGTAGGGCCCTTCACTCTGCTTGCCTCTACCATAAGGTTTTGACTACCAAATGTCCACCATATTTATACAACAAAATTCAATTTCGAACAGACGTTCATAATATTAATATTAGGCACAGACATACGTTAACAATACCCCAGCATCGACTGGAAATTTTTAAAAGATCTTTCACGTATTGTGTGCCTAATTTGTTGAATAACTGTCCACTTTCGGTCTTGCAGGAATCTGAGCGGGTTTTCAGGGTGATATATAGGTCTGAGTTATTGAATGAGCAGAATTGTGATGACATATGAATCAATTTTTTTTTTTTTGTTGTTTTTTCTCTTTTTTCTTTCTTTTATTGTTTTTTCGTGTTTCTTCTCCTTTCCTTGTCTTAGCTCTTCTTATTTACTAGAAAGCTAGTCTTACTATTATGTATAATTGGTATTAATTTTAAGTTTTTGGTAACAACTAGTCTTTCTATTTCCGTTTGCCGTCATGAAGTTTAAGTTTATTTATACAAAATGTAGAAAAAGGACCAATGAAAAACAGCTGACCCACTGGGAATGCTGACGTGGTCCTTTTTAACTCATGGCATTTCATTTTGGTTTTATTTTAGTTTTTAAGTATTTTGTTATTGGGGTTTATAATGGTGCTATGGGTTAATAAACATTATTATTATTATATCGCTTCCATAAAATAATCTATTGCTTCAAGAATGCTAGATGCTTTTGACAGAAGACTAGTCACTACAAATATATCGCTAAATACAGCTACTAGAAGTCTACATATTGCTTGCAGAGGACTACTTACTACTTGAAAACTTGTTATTATTGATAAAACGCTAGATATGGCTGCGGTACATTCAAACAATTTTGACCTTAGCTTTGACAAACTCGTGTAGCGTACAATCAGACACACCAATAGAACCATTTGCTACTTTTTTTCACGGTGATCTTTGGACGAACAATATATCAATAAAATCAATCAATAAAAAACCAGTATCTAACAAATTCATTGATTACCAAGTTATTGAATACGGAAATTCTGCGAGAGACGTTATTTTCTTTCCTTATACAAGTAATTTTCCTAATTTATAACTAGTTTTTAACTTATATCTTCAAGTTTTATTTATTAAACAGCATCAAAAAGTTTTTGAAGTGAGTGGATCTAAAATGCATTCTTAACAGATAGGTATACAGTTTTAGAGGTTTATAGTTAAGTAAGTTCTTGGTCTATACAGACACTAAGAAGGAGTGACCACAACAGCAAGGCTAATTACCTTATCTGTGGACCTTTCAACTTGATATTGCTTGAAGACTACTATTTATTGCGTGTAAAAATCTAGACACTGCTTGCAGAAAACTAGATAGTGATTGCAGAAGACTAGATACTGGTCGTAGAAGACGAGATATTGCTTTTAGTACACTAGACATTACTGGCAGAGGCCTACACTGCTAATAAATGCTATAAGATGAAAGCTTAAGGAAAACTAGATACCCGTTCCATAAAATTAGCTATGGCCAGAAGGTTACTGCAAATATAAGGTTAAATACAGCTACTAGAAAATTAAATATTGTTCTTGCAGTGCTTGTTGAACACTTGTTATTATTCATAAAAGGCTAGACACGGCTGGCAGAAGACTGCTAATAGATGTATAAATGGTATAAGATGAATCATCCTAGATACTGTGCTGGTACAGAATTAGATACCGCTCATAGAAGACTAGATACTACTGGCAGACCCCTAGACAGCTAATAAAAAACTAGATATGGCCTCCATAAACCAACCTATTGCTTCAAAACTGCTAAATGCTCTTGGCAGAAGACTAGTTACTGCAAATAAAAGGCTGAATACAGCTACTAGAAGTATACTTATTGCTTGCAGAGAACTTGCTACTTGAAAACTTGTTATTATTGATAAAACGCTAAATACGGCAACAAACAATTTTGACCTTAGCTTTGACATATGAAATTGCTGATGAGTGACGAGGTGCTATATAGATATTTGTTTTTCTCGCAGATAAATCAAAAACGTTCAAAAATTAATGAATAATAATAACTGCATAAAATAAATTTGTAATGTCTTAAACATTTTATTTTAACAATTTAACTAAAACGGAAATCGAGATAGGAATGTTCTTATCTATTTAATAGCCATGATAAAATTATAATTTTTCTTACAAATATTTGTGTAATATTATTAAAGTTACTCAAGTAAATACGATATGAACAGACAATTACAGCGTCGCAAATTGTAGATAGGTACGCTTAAATTACCACACTTATATTTTCATTAAAATAAAATTACACTCCGCTACTTAAATAATATTTACTCATCTTTGACCTTGTAACTAACATTTAAAGAGCACTTCTAAGTTAATCTACACAGTGATGGATTTGTATCAGTAAAGTGGTTGTACAGTTTTTGCTAAATGTCTATTAATAAAACACGACCAACTCACAACTGTTCAGTTGTCGTTATAAGTTTACTGTGTGCATACGCAAACTTGCTCTTGATATATCAGTAAATAAAAATGGAAATAAAATCGTTTGATAAGTTAATTGTTAATTCGTTGTTGAAAGATGGTAAGAAATACGTTTCGAATGAGTGTAAAAATCTGTTATCCAACGGTGAAAACTACGGAAGTATTATGCTCGATGTGAAAGTTACGCTGACGGACAAGGATGGAAATGAAGAGGTCGTGAATTGTGTTGCAAAAACTTGTCCGCCAAAAGGAATTTGTTGGATGATTTTTAACGTACCTTACACCGTTAAGAAAGAAATTGCGTTTTATCAAACGGTAATACCAACGTTAAATAATTTCGGAAAAACTCACGGAATCGATGAGATTATACCATTTTTTGCAAAAACTTATGGAAGTAGAATATCTTTAGATCCCAATTCAGATGTTGTAGATACAGATGCCGCACTTTTATTAGAAAATATGAAGTTAAAAGGATACGGATTACCCGATAGATTTATCGGGTTTAATTTAGAAGAAGCTAAAATTGTTCTTAAAAATCTAGCTACATTTCATGCTGTTCCTATAGCGCTTAAACTCCAAAAACCAGATGAATTTAAAGAAAAAATTAAACCTACACTAGCAAGAGATATGAAGTTCAACCCACCTTCCGATATGATTGATAATCTTATGGCGGTAATAAAAAATATATGTATCGATGCTAAATTAGAACATTTATTACCTAAGATAGAAAAAAATTTTAAAAGATATTGCGAAGAACTCGTGGATAATCCAAAAATTAAAGAACCTTTTGCTACAATGGTCCATAATGACCTTTGGGTCAACAACGTAATGTTTAAATATGATAATAACATTCCATCTAAATGCATTTTAGTTGATTTTCAAGGACTTGATTATAGTTCTCCAACAAACGATCTTCTATTTCTTTTATACACAAGCATCGATTTATCATTAATTGAAACCAAATTTGATGATTTAGTAAAATATTATTTCGAATCATTTATTGATATATTAAAAAAATTGAAATGTCCGAATATAGAACAATTTACTTTTGAAGCTTTTCTAGAAGAAATGGCTTTATTCGCTAATGAAATTCAATTATATCATATTATTCTTATGTGTCAACCGATTTATATGAAGAAAGAGGATGCGAAAGATTTATCGAAAATGGAAGAAACCATGAATTCTACCACGATAAGTTCGTTACATGAAAATTTCAAGAAGAAAATTATTTTTGTTTTGTCCAATTATGAAAAACGAGGGTGGATTTAAATGAATTATAGAGAAATTTTATTTGATTAAATTAATTTTTATAAATTGTATTTTTATTTTAATAAATATTATAAAGAAAGTTTGCAAACTTTTACTATTTCTTGCCATAATTTTTTTTTTTCAGCTTAGTACCATATCAACCTATGTAATTATTCTTGTGTAAGTTGTATTTCCGTTAAATCAATAACCCATTTTAATCAAGCATTAAAATAAATAATGATGTAGAATTTAAGAGGATTAAAATAATTTTCTGCAAAAGTCAGACTATCTAGCATGTTAATTCTTGAAATCTGCGATAAAGCATCTGAAAATGATCAAAAAAAGCAATCTTCTTTACATTGTCAGAATATTGAGAATAGTAATTAAGCAAAGAATAAAGAAGCAAATAACACTGATCTTGAAATCCTACAAACTTATCGATAACGGTAAAGTTGATTAGAAAATGATGTAGATTCATTACAGCTTAGGTTTGACTTGCAGAAACTGGATATTCAAAGCAAGTTGTGATCTTTGTGGTCTTTAGTAGTCTTTAAGTAAATGATGGATCACAACATTTCTTTTATGGTATAATTCCCTGTGGCAATGTTCTGCGAGTGATGACTACTCTACTTGAGACAACACGATGCTTTCTTTTTGAGATAATAAGTAACTTGAGTACAGATTGCAGACAACTGACGTTATAGCAAATTATCTTTCATTTTCTGCCTCTAACCTATCTTCTGCAGCTCTCCTTCACATTGGAATACCCAGATAAGTAGTGCGTACGAGAGTCTCGTAGGTAAGTATTTCTGCAAATAATATCTGCAATATTTCTGCAAATATTTTCATATCTACAAGCTGGAATTCCAGTAATGATATGTTGAAAGTACCTATTGAAGGTAGACATGGACTTGGTGCATTGTGTCAAAATGTTGTTGATTTAAAACCATATGCTCTTGAGGCCAAAAACTGAATACTGCTAGAAGAAGTGCATAAATTACTAGTCAACTTTCAAATACTTTCCAAGAAACTCAGAGGTCTACTCTCTACTAATAGATAATATTGAGAGTAAAATATTTGCATGGAACCGAAAGGCAGATCGAAACGCTGTTGAAGAGCAGCTTATTGTTAGTTTTCAGGCTGCGAGATACAAAATATTAAAGCATTATCGTAAAATTAATTAGATTTATGCTGCAGTTTTAATTCTCGATTTGCGGCATAAGATAGAAGTTTTTGATATGACAAGAATTGAAAGAAACTTCGATTCAGAAATTTGAAGATGTATTATATGTACGTTCGAAAGTAACGGTATTGGAGGAACGAGAAGATTTTAGAGTGGAAAAATCGGATTTTGTAATTGATTTTGATGTTTTTTATGCAGTAAATCCTACGCCTGCCGAAGGAAAATGGATGTAATAAAGACACAGATATATTAACACTAATTCAGATCATTCCACTGTTTTTTGCCGTATATTTGGTTGTCAGTTTCTAGTTTTAGTTTTATTTCAAATAACACTAGCCTCAAAAGCCTACGAACTTATAGATAACGGTGAAGTTGATCAGAAAATGATGCAGATTAATTACAGATTATGTTTGACTTGAAGAAACTGACTATTCAAATCAAGTATGGTCTTTTGTAGTAAATCACAACTGATTTCTTTTATGTTCTGCGACTGCTGACTACTCTATTTTATGGATTAAACGCCGCAGACTCGCCTTTCTACGTAGATGTAGAAAGAAGAATGTGACTCTAACATTTCTTAAAGTGCAATATCGCACTGACTCAGCTGTAATTCGTAAAATCACGTACAGGACTTGTTCTGACCTTACTTCGTAAAGGAAATACGCCTGACAATTTCGGATAGCTGGTATCATATATCGGTTGGGTTGCTCATATAAACTGCTCTGCATAGCTAATATTAAAAAAAAGTGTTGAAGCAAACATCAGACTTTACCTTCTTTATACTTTTTAAGTATGATGCAAAAATTCCGTGGCCCGTTATGGCTTGTGTTGTGTGATAATCTACTTGTGGCCCTTTTTTATGCCATTGTTTAACGTCTCTTATCAAATTTCTTGCCCATCCTGTATATTTGCTCCATCTTTCCTGCCATTTCTCACCCAGCATCCGTCTATTCTGCGTCTTAGTCTTCCCATTTTCTTCCCAATTAATACTTCGTTTCTAAGCCAACAGATCTATTGGTCTGTATCTGATCTAATGGAAGTCTTTCTTTCTATTGTTCTTATCATTCCAACATATTTCTTGTGTTTCATAGTTATCTCCCACGCTGAAGCTGCATACAGAGTAATGGATCTCACCACGGCTACCAATAGTCTTCTCCTTGCCTGTCTCGGACCTCCCTTTTTCGGCATTAGGAGTGATAAGTTCCTATACGCTAGGCTCGGGTACACCCACAGATATTTTACCGCCAGCGGCTCTTTATCATTTCCTTCCCAACTCTTATCTCAATGCTCTTCATTTTCCTTCTACCCTCCAATATAACAACTTCTCACTTCTCTTCCACCATTTCTAGTCCCAACTCTCTCTTTAAGTTTACGTTTCAAAAAATCATAAAAAGACGATTTTTGAATATATCATTACGCAATTTTCAGTAATTATAGAAGAAAGTGTTACCTTTTTAATAAAGAAAACCGTTTTTGAAAATCTTTTTTCGTTCTTGAGATAAAAATTTTAAACACAACGATACATTTTCCCACTTTGTAGAGAATACAACGATTTTCGATTTGATTCAAAAAATCGTATAAAATCGGGCATCTAATGAATCGTTATAAAACTGTCGCCAATTATAAAGTAAACTGTAATCTTTTCAACGAAAAAGGCCGTTTTTAAAAATATTTCTTACTTCTTGAGGTATTAAACTTTTTGTTTCATCGCTGTCTTATATTTAAATTACTTAATCAATCGTTTTCAAAAAATCATAAATAATCGATTTTTGAAGATATCATTACGCAATTTTCAGTAATTATAGAAGAAAGTGTTACCTTTTTAATAAAGAAACCCGTTTTTGAAAGTCTTTTTTCGTTCTTGAAATAAAAATTTTTAAATACAACGATACATTTTCCCACTTTGTTGAGAATACAACGATTTTCGATTTGATTCAAAAAATCGTATAAAATCGGTCATCTAATGAATCGTTATAAAACTGTCGCCAATTATAAAGTAAACTGTGATCTTTTCAACGACACAGGCCGTTTTTAAAAATATTTCTTACTTCATGAGATATTCAACTTTTTGTTTCATCGCTATCTTATATTTAAATTTGTTAATCAATCGTTTTCAAAAAATCATAAAAAAACGATTTTTGTAGATATCATTACGCAATTTTCAGTAATTATAGAAGGAAGTGCTACCTTTTTAATAAAGAAAACCGTTTTTGAAAATCTATTTTCGTTCTTGAGATAAAAATTTTTAAACACAACGATACATTTTCCCACCTTGTAGCGAATACAACGATTTTCGATTTGATTCAAAAATTCGTATAAAATCGGTCATCTAATGAATCGTTATAAAACTGTCGCCAATTATAAAGTAAACTGTGATCTTTTCAACGACACAGGCCGTTTTTAAAAATATTTCTTACTTCATGAAATATTCAACTTTTTGTTTCATCGCTATCTTATATTTAAATTTCTTAATCAATCGTTTTCAAAAAATCATAAAAAAACGATTTTTGTAGATATCATTACGCAATTTTCAGTAATTATAGAAGGAAGTGCTACCTTTTTAATAAAGAAAACCGTTTTTGAAAATCTATTTTAGTTCTTGAGATAAAAATTTTTAAACACAACGATACATTTTCCCACCTTGTAGCGAATACAACGATTTTCGATTTGATTCAAAAATTCGTATAAAATCGGGCATCTAATGAATCGTTATGAAACTATCGCCAATTATAAAGTAAACTGTAGAAAGTAAGCTTTTTATTTCTTTGGAGAATCTTCCCCACGGCGCTGATTTGAATGCATTTCAACCTAACCCATGTCACGTGTACAATAGGTTTAACATTAATCGGTGGAATAAGCAGTTGAAAGAAAAAATATTCTGGTGTCCGCTTTTGGAGTCCTAAAATATCTGTGCGTGTGTGTGCTCGACAATTACAGCAAAGTTAGGGTTCATAAGGATAATAACTGGGAGAGTTTTTCTTTTATTTGGTGAAGGTTTCACATTTCTATCTTGCTTGGTTGCTTTCCAGTGTCCGGTCAAAGGTGCACCATGACTTTACAAAAAAGATCGTTTACCAATTCCTTATTGCAATATCGATTTGTTTTTAACCTTATCGTAATTACTTTAATATCCCGATGTGTTTTGTCTCGATACTCTTCATTAAGTAGAAATGTGTTATCTAAATTACTAAATAATAATTTAATGATTTTTTTTTAATTGGACTTGATTGTACGATGTTCAAGTCAACAATTCTTTTTTAAAAGTTTTAAAAATAAAATTACATTGGTTAAAAACAAGTTTTACGATAGTGTTTACTTCTAAAATTACTCCAGATAAGAAATATGCAACTTCTATAATTAAAGTGGTAAAAAAAAGCAATTAGTTTAAAATTTCAAATCAAAAAGTTTTATTGCATATTTAATTTGATGAATTGTGAATAAATTTGAATTGATTTGTTTTAACACATAAAAAATTAAATCAATATTTTTAGAAGGCGTGTATTTGGTTGCATAACTACAATTTATTTAATTTCTTAATTTAATCTGTTGGAGTGAATTAATAAATCTTAATCTTAATCATTTGTTTTAATAACTTGATTTATTAAAAAAAAATTAAAACAATTCGTAATAAAATTGTTTTTATTTCGAGTCATAGTGAGATCTATGAAATTGGAATTTAAAATTTTAAGGCTAATCTATCACTTATTTTACAACGAATACCTACCTACATCAAAGTATTTATCTATTTATCAAAAACAAAATCGTCATATCATCTTGGTTTTTTTTGATAATTGCTTGGTCATAGAATATTATTATCTAATCGTATAAAAATAGATACCCACATAAATAGGGACACACGAGAGAGTGAACCACTCAGAATCCAACGTTCAGATCGTTTCACTCGTTGCGGCATCTCATCATGAATGGTGACATTGAAATTAGAAATATAGAAAGTCTCTTTTCGGCTTTTTTAAAAAATGGGAAGAAATTCGTTTCGTACGAATACGAAAAGTTATTGCCGCCTGGTGAAAATTATGGTAGCATTATGTTAAAGTTAAAAGCAATTTTAAGTGGGGAAAACGGTGAAGAAGAAATTGTAAATTGTGTAGCAAAATTGGTGCCTCCAACTCCGTTCTTATGGAAAATGTTTAACACTCCGGTTACGTTCAAGAAAGAAATTGGGATGTATAAAATAATTGGACCTTTACTTAACGAGTTTGGGAGAGAACATGGTGTTGATAATTTATTTCCTCTTTTACCTGATTATGTCGGAGCAAGAATTTCATTGGATCCGGAATCGACCGAAGTTGATCACGACGCCGTTTTGGTTCTAAAGAATATTTTAGAAGATGGGTATGTTGTTGGTGATAGATTTAAGGGATTCGATAAAGAAACAACAAATATGTTTCTAAGGAGTTTAGCAGTGATGCATGCTTCAACCATAGCTTTAAAGTTAAAAAAACCAGCTGTGTTTAAAGAAAAAATACATAAATTAATAGAAGTAAAAATGCCTGTGGAATTTAACGAAGAATCGATGCAAAAAGTTATGAAACAAATCCAAGAAGGTTTAAGCAGAAATGAGAGATGTCTACCTTACATAGAAAAAGTATTAACACATCTAGAAAAAGTAGGTGAATTAATGACAAGTGACCCCAGAGAACCTTTCGCTACTTTAGTTCACAACGATTTTTGGACGAATAACATGATGGTTAAATTTGAAAACGGGAAACCTGTGTCAACAAGATTCATTGATTTTCAAATCATTGATTACGATAACCCATTAAAAGATGTCTTATTCTTTTTGTACACAAGCACAAGACTGGATTTATTAGAATATGTTGACGATTTCCTCGACGTATATTACAAAGAATTTATATCCATATTAAAACGATTAGATTGTGACACATCCCCGTTTTCAAAATCAGCGTTTTTCGATGAGATAAAAGCGGCTGCTGAAAAAGAATTAATCCACATCATTTTCATGTTACTACCTCTTTACACTAGAAAAGGAGAGGCGAAAGAACTGACGCAAATGAATGGCGAAAATGATATCTTCGTTGCGGGAAGTAGTCTCGACGATGGATATTATCCCAGATTACATTTTGTGGTATTAGATTTTTTTAAAAGATGTTGGATATAAATAAAGTTGTTATAAGAAATTGTACTGTTTTATTGAAATAACTACTTTATCAATGTTAAGAAATTGAGAATATGTAAAATATTTCTTTTTTTTTTGTACAACAATAAGACTACGGCGTGAGTTTTAGAAATATGCATGACGTGAGTGTCGCATGAAATAAATATAAGTGCACTTACATGTAACTAATTTGACGCATTTCACGTTTATAGCATACACATGCACATAGTTAAAGTATTAAACGAAGTATTGTTTTAAATGATTTGGTAAGTACAATAATTATTAATTTAAATCAAAAATATATATAAAATCAATTAAGAAAATATGTTGATTCTATTATAAAATCGCCTAAGGGGGTTCCATCATATCATGGAATTAGTATTCAATACGAAAAGGTTGTTTGTAAAATGTTGATATTAAAGAAATACTGAAAATAAAACTTATAAAACTAGACAAGTTGATGTAATTACGTCACATTGAAGGTGATTTTATGATTTAATCAAATCATCTTCGCAATCTATCAACATAAAATGAAAAATTTTTGATTTTGCCATCTTCAATACATATTTGAAGCGTACTTTAGACAACATGATGCTTTCTTTTTTTTTTTTGAGATAATAAGTGACTCGAATAATAATTTGAGTTAGTCTTAAAATTTTAATTGCCGGGTTATGCCGTGCGTCTTGATCGTTTGAAGATTGAAACAATTTTATGCAAAAGTAAGACTGTCTAGCATGTTAATTCCTGAAATCTGTGACATCTGCGATAAAGCACCTGGAAATGATCCAAAAAAAACAATCTTCTTTACATTGTCAGAATATTGAGAATAGTAATTAAGCAAAGAAGAGATAACGGTGAAATAAAGCTAAAACTAGAAACTGTCGGATTATGCCGTGCTTCTTGATCGTTTGAGGATTGAAGCAATTTTATGCTAAAGTAAGACTATCTAGCATATTAATTCTTGAAATCTGTGACATCTGCGATAAAGCACCTGGAAATGATCCAAAAAAAGCAATCTTCTTTACATTGTCAGAATATTGAGAATAGTAATTAAGCAAAGAAGAGATGACGGTGAAATAAAGCTAAAACTAGAAACTGTCGGATTATGCCGTGCTTCTTGATCGTTTGAGGATTGAAGCAATTTTATGCTAAAGTAAGACTATCTAGCATATTAATTCTTGAAATCTGTGACATCTACGATAAAGCACCTGGAAATGATCCAAAAAAAGCAATCTTCTTTACATTGTCAGAATATTGAGAATAGCAATTAAGCAAAGAACAGATGACGGTGAAATAAAACTGGTCTTGAAAGCCCACGAACTTATCGATAACGGTAAAATTGATTAGAAAATGATGTGGATTCATTATAGCTTAGGTTTGACTTGCAGAAACTGGATATTCAAAGCAAGTTGTGATCTTTTGTAGTAGGTCTTTAGTAGTCTTTAAGTATATGATGGACAACAATTCTTTTATGGTATCATTCCCTGTGGTAATGTTCTGCGATTGCTGACTGCTCTACTTGAGACAACATGATGTTTTCTTTTTGAGATAATAATTAACTTGAGTACAGATTGCAGACAACTGACGTTACAGCAAATTGTCTAAACCTCTAAACCTATCTTCTGCAGCTCTCCTTCACATTCGAATACCCAGATCATCCCACTGTTTGCCATATATTTGGTTCTTCATATGACGCAATAGCCCTAATTGTGCCTTAACCTCTTTCATTTTCTGCCTCTATACTGTAAACTTGGGTGGACTTTCAAATTTTAGGACCCTGCAACTTTCGATAGGAGAAAGATATTTATTTGTTTTGTACAGCAGAAGATATGCCACTAATAGTACTTTCAGAAGGAAAAAAATTAAATTTATCGTAGTTTGAAAAATGTAATTTTCCTACCTATAAATAAAAAACAACTTAATTATATTTATTGTTCTCATTAATTGTAAAAAATCCTCTCTTGGAGGGCTGCAGTATATTCATGACCTCTAAAATATCTTCATACCAAATGATACCTTCAGGCGAAGGCCACTTCCATTGATGTCGTCCACTTTTTTCAAGAGATTTAATCTTAAATGATTTCTTGTTATTTTTTAATTTAATTTGAACAACTTTTCCTGGGTAAATTTGCTTTTCATATAAAAATAAAACAAAGTTTCCGTTATTAATATGTTCAATTATCTTGTTGTCATTGCTTGCTGTTGTCAGACCTTTCACACCATCCGAACCGAAAATACTTCTACCAGATCACTCACTTTTTCCTCTTAGTGTCTTGGCTCTGTTGAGAAAATCTTCTGTCCTGCAGAAGATCTATTACTGAAGCACTATAAATTTGGGTCTAGATTTTCAATCCCTGGAATTCGGTCTAAAACTTTTCTTTTCTTTTCCACTTTCTGTTAAAGACTTGAATTAATATTAACAGCAAATCGCTGTATAAGGTCGGGATGTCGTTCTAAAGTGTCACCCATTCCGAGTTCCGACTTTGGCGAGTAGGTAGAGTACACCCCTTTGCGGTCTATATATTTTTTTACAATTTTTCCCAAGACTAATAACGATAAAAGATTACCACAACAACCTGAATCACCAGCGGCCAAAGTCATCCATGAAAACCAATGAAAACGCATGGATTACTTTAGCCACCTTTAGCAGCTAAGCGTGAACGTTTGACTTGATGATATATGAACAGAAATCTGTGATAGACACCTTCGAATGTCTCCTTTGATCCCCAATCTTAAATAGCAATAGTTTCGCTTGTGATTTACGAAAATATGAGGGACCAATTTTTTCTCATATTCATAGTTTTGAGTTCCTTATAGTATATGTATGAGCCATATATACTTTGATATTACAAAATTTTACATCCTTTTTTTTACGGTAGAGGAAAGAAACAATTTTCAGAAATCGGCCAAAGCTCCCCAGCATGGCTAAAGCTACCCAAGTTTACGGTACCTATCTTCTAACGCTCTCCTTCACATTCGAATACCAAAATCATCTCATTGTTTTTGCCGTATATTTGGTCCTCTTTGGCAACTTCTTTCTCTCCACTCTTGCCACATGTCACATGAAACTGTTTTTCTTTCTCTTGTTCTTCATCGCCTTTTTGAATTCTTGATCAAACCAGATTTTACTCTTCATCCTGTTTCATTTGCTTTTATCACCAGTGTTGTTTGATTTAATTTCTTTATCAATCAATTACTGATTGATGTAGATATTGTAGATGCCCTTTTTGTTTTTGTTTTTGCATTTCTCGTTTAAATCTTTTTTAACTTCTGGTAACTTTAGTTACTCAATATCCTATTTGTGTCTAATCTTTCCGAATTCTCTCCAAACCTTCTCAATTTCTACCTGTTCAAAATATCCAGTAACGGAAAATACGAGCTTTAAGAGCATAGTCTTCGTGAATAAAGTACCACCAAATTCAATCAGAACTAAACAAATATTTGATTAACATTAAAAATTCAAAACAAAGACAATTAAATTTTCATTTTTCCTAGAATATCTAAGATGACTTTACGAAACAATATAAAACTGTAATTCACACCAAACGATGACGCATACATTTATTAGAATCGTAATAAGATGTCAAGGTTATTGGTAATATTAAATAATTTTTATATTTCCCAGAATTTTTTTGCTAAATTAACTATTTATTCTTTATTTGAAAAGACTTTTCTTGATAGTATTTTAACAAATATTTTTTTAACAGGTTATTTAATAGAATATATTTTAATAAACAATGTATTTTACGAGTTTATACTCTAATATTTAAGTGGGATTATTTGCATAATGCAAATCGTGTTGCGATGCATCGATTACAATTTCTCGGTACTCGAAAATCAATCTTAAATGAAACAAAAAATGACTCCCCGCGTAGTTATTGTCTACGTTTTGGCTTATTATATAAATAACAAGTGCAAAAATAGAACATAAAGTTACGATCTTCCCTGGTATATAAGTCACTTCATTGTTATTAATTTTTCGAGTACCGACAATGAAATGAAACAAGCTACTTTTATTAACACTAATAGAAATTTCCTTCCATTAGTTAGAGGTTCAACTTGGGTAATTATATCGCAGCGCTCTATTTAACCTTTGGAATCCGATTTTTTGTTATCATAACGATTATTACTTTTTTATCTCATTTCTATGTAATTTAAAACTTAATCGATATGATTCTAAATTTATTTAATATCCTGTTTGATTAATTTTTTTTTATTTTAGTGTCATGGAAATTCAGAATATAAAAGATTTAATCGGGCCACTTCTAAAAGGTAACAAGAAGTATTTATCTCACGAACAAGAAAAATTATTGCAAGTCGGCGAAAATTATGGTAGTGTAATTTTAAAACTTGTGGTTTATTGCGAGGATGAGAACGGGAAAAAAGAAGAACACCATTGTATAGCGAAATTAGTCCCGCCAAGTAGTTACATACAAAAGATTTTTAAAACGAAAATTACTTTTAAAAAGGAAATTAGAATATACGACACAATAATTCCGTTGTTACGTTCTTTCGGTGAAGAGCACGGCGTAAAAAATCTTCTCCCATTTTTTGGGAAATACATCGGATCAAGAATATCATTAAACCCAAAATCTGTTGATGTGGATAATGATGCGGCTTTAATTTTAAGGAATCTTAGTTATGATGGTTACGTTGTTTGCGATAGATTCATCGGGTTTAATAAAGAAACCATGGAATTGTTGCTAAAAGATTTAGCGACTATGCATGCAACTACAATCGGTTATAAATTACAAAAACCAGAAGAATTTAATCAAAAAATCTTACCCCATTTTTTTGGAACTATGGATTGGGATTATAATGATATAACCATAGAGAAATATCAAGATCAATATGGTGCAGTTTTAGAAAAAGATCCTGATTGTTCCCATTTACGCCAAAAAGTTTTACATTCCATGAACAAAGCTGGTTGTTATTATGGTTCTAAACCACGCGAACCCTTCGCTACAATGATCCATCAAGATTTATGGGTCAACAATATGATGTTGAAATTCATTGATGGGAAACCAATTTCCAGCAAATTCATCGATTTCCAAATAATGGCTTATGGTAATCCAGCATGTGATGTTCTATTTTTAATTTATACAAGTGCCCAAATAGATTTATTACACTTAGTGGATGATTTCGTCAAAATTTATTTCGACCACTTTATTACAATCCTCAAAAATTTACATTGCGATATCACCAACTTTACTTTTGAAGCTTTCCAAAACGAGATGTACATCGCAGCAACCGATTTTACCTTCGTTCATATTTTATACATGTTGGCAATTACTAACACTTTAACGGGAAAAGCTAAAGACATCACTGAAATGACTGGGCATGAAGACTGCGTTGTACCCAACGAGAATTTGCACGAACTTTTTTATCGGAGACTTCTTGTTGTTGTTAAGGAGTTTGGAAGGAAAGGATGGATTCCATAGCCGTTTTATTTTTATTATTGAATTTATTAATTTTAAATAAATCATTTAAACAATATTAGTTAGAATTATTTATTATATCCAACCTCTTTTTGCAAAGTCTTCAATTATAAGAGAAAATCTAATTTGTCCATTTGGATGAATATGTTCAAGTGAAGGTACGATATCTGCACGAGTCTTAATATCTTTTAACTCAACTGCTTTTCCTTTTTCGGTAAAAACCGGGTGAATAAAAAACAAACATCGACCAAACTCAGTTTCTTTGGCAGCATCACCAACTTGTTGCAAAAATGCATCGAATGTAAACGGTGTTGAATCGCAGTTTAATGTTTTCAATATATCAATAAAGTGATTATAATAAATTAATAAGAAATCATCGACGAATTGTAATAATTCCATTTGGGCACTTGTATAAAGGAAGAAAATAACATCTCTTCCTGGATTACCATATTCCGCAACTTGGAAATCGAGTAATTTTATTGATGTTAAGTTTTCATGAATGGTTTTTGTTAATATGTTATTAGTCCAAAGATCGCCGTGTATAAAAGTACCAAATAATTCATTTGGTGTTCGATTTTGGCATAAACTATTGATTCCCCGCCGATAACCGCTAATCATTCTTTCGGATAAATGATGCAATTTAGGATAATTCTCAAGAAATTTCATGAAACAATCGAGTTGAAGCTTTTTGGTTTGTTCGTTTATTTTAGATACAAAACATTTTCCAATGTGGGCCAATACTTTGTTTTGGAACTCTTCCGGTTTAGCACGTTTATATGCTATGGTCGTTGCATGAAGTGTTGCTAAACTTTTAATTATCATTATTACAGCGTTTTTATCGAAACCCACAAATCTATTTTCAAGTTTATATCCTTTTTCTTGTAAATTCTCCATTAATATTATTGCGTCGTCATCTACGTCGTTACTGTTGGGATTTAATGTAACCCTTGAATTGTAATGTTCAGCGAAAAATGGTAAGATACATTTTATATTGTGTTCTTTTCCAAATTGATTCAACAATGGTACAATTGTTTTATAAACGGAGATTTCTTTCTTGAACGTTGACAACGTCTGAAACATATCCCATAAAACTCCTTTTGGTGGAACCAATTTTGCAACACACTTTATTATTTTTTGTTTTCCATTCTTATCTTCGATCAGCAAGTTAACTTTTAACATTGTACTACCGTAATTTTCTCCGGCCGATAGTAATTTATCTTGAGTAAAATTCACCAATCTTTCATCTTTTTGTAAATATGATTCTAATAATTGCTCAACGTGACGTATTTCCATTGTAAATCAATTGATGCAGTATCTCGACTAAACAGAATTCAAAACATAGTTGTTTTTATATTGATATTGCGTATCTATTTTAAATGCAGTTGGAATTCTTATCACTAAATACGTGTTGTTGTGTAGTTTACAATATTTGTTATTAAAAACAAGAATCATTCACCAGACGGAAATAAAAACGGTGTTTATTCACCTTTTATAAAGCAAAACTTAAAAATAAACGTAATTAATTACTTAAGTAGTTATTAATGATTATATATTTCTATTTATTAAACACAACCAAGTATAATGGGTTGCGTAAAACCGATCAGAATATTACTTTTTCTTGTTATTGGTTGTGCAGACTGAAACCAATAATAATTTTCCATTTTTTTCGTGATTAGAACCAAACTGGCTTCATATAGGTATAAAAAACCAACTTATTGGTAGGTACATACATCAATTTTTTTCTTGTCCTCTAATACGCACAACGAATAGGATGTGTAGGCGAGTTCTTAGAATAGATGACAAAGAATTTTTTATTTTCATCTTCCAATAAACTGAATAATAACTCACCGTAATCAATCTTAACTAACTCAGCTGTAAGTTATGCTATGTACGGATAAGTTGGCTATGTGAGGCCAACTTCAAGACAATCTCGCATAACTTAAGTGATATACAGCTGTCTCAAAATTAACGATATTATTACTTAATAATTCCCATCTGGTTATTTGTCCGTCGTTTTTGGGATATATGACTAAAACAGAGGATTCTAATTTTCATATATACAAAGTAATGTGCTAAGGGTTAAATTTGCTACAACTTTTGTTCTAAAAGTTTTTCTGTATCATGGTCGGAATACCGATTTTTTTCATTACCAACTTTGAAACTAGGAATTCTTCTAATTTTCATATTTTCGAATATTTCTCCACATTGATGCATCTGAGAGCAAAAGTGTTATAAAGTAATGTGTTAAGGGTTAAATTTGCTACAACTTTTATTCTCAAAGTTTTTCTGTATCATGCTTGAAATACCGATTTTTTCCATTGGCAACTTGTGAAACTACGAATTCTTCTTATGTTCATATTTTCGAATATTTATCTACATTGATGCATCTGAGAACAAAAGTGTTATAAAGTAATGTGTTAAGCGTAAAATTTGCTACAACTTTTATTCTAAAAGTTTTTCTGTATCATGCTTGGAATACCGGTTTTTCTCCATTAACCACTTTTGAAACTACGAATTCTTTTAATTTTCATATTTTCAAATATTTCTCTATATTAATGCATCTGAGAGCAAAAGTGTTATAAAGTAATGTGTTAAGGGTAAAATTTGCTACAACTTTTGTCCCAAAAGTTTTTCTGTATCATGCTCGGAATACCAATTTTTTCCATTAACCACTTTTGAAACTACGAATTCTTCTAATTTTCATATTTTCGAATATTTCTCTACATTGATGCATCTGAGAGCAAAAGTGTTATAAAGTAATGTGTTAAGGGTTAAATTTATTACAATTTTTGTTCTAAAAGTTTTTCTGTATCATGCTTAGAATACCGTTTTTTTCTCCATTAACCACTTTTGAAACTACAAATTCTTCTAATTTTCATATTTTCAAATATTTCTCTATATTAATGCATCTGAGAGCAAAAATGTTATAAAGTAATGTGTTAAGGATTAAATTTTCTACAACTTTTATTCTAAAAGTTTATCTGTATCATGCTTGGAATACCGATTTTTTCCATTAGCAACTTGTGAAACTACGAATTCTTCTAATTTTCATATTTTCGAATATTTCTCTACATTGATGCATCTGAGAGCAAAAGTGTTATAAAGTAATGTGTTAAGGGTTAAATTTGCTACAACTTTTGTTCTAAAAGTTTTTCTGTATCATGCTCGGAATACCGTTTTTTTCCATTCACCACTTTTGAAACTTCGAATTCTTCGAATTTTCATATTTTCGAATATTTCTCTATATTAATGCATCTGAGAGCAAAAGTGTTATAAAGTAATGTGTTAAGGATTAAATTTTCTACAACTTTTATTCTAAAAGTTTTTCTGTATCATGCTTGGAATACCGATTTTTTCCATTAGCAACTTGTGAAACTACGAATTCTTATAATTTTCATATTTTTGAATATTTCTCCACATTGATGCATCTGAGAGCAAAAGTGTTATAAAGTAATGTGTTAAGGGTTAAATTTACTACAACTTTTATTCTAAAAGTTTTTCTGTATCATGCTCGGACTACCAATTCTTTCCATTAACCACTTTTGAAACTACGAATTTTTCTAATTTTCATATTTTCGAATATTTCTCTACATTGATGCATCTGAGAGCAAAAGTGTTATGAAGTAATGTGTTAAGGGTAAAATTTGTTACAACTTTTGTTCTAAAAGTTTTTCTGTATCATGATCCTAATACCGTTTTTTTTATTAACCATTTGTGAAACTACGAATTCTTCTAATTTTCATATTTTCGAATATTTCTCTACATTGATGCATCTGAGAGCAAAAGTGTTATAAAGTAATGTGTTAAGCGTAAAATTTGCTACAACTTTTGTTCTAAAAGTTTTTCTGTATCATGCTTGGAATACCAATTTTTTCCATTAACCACTTGTGAAACTACGAATTCTTCTAATTTTCATATTTGCGAATATTTCTCTACATTGATGCATCTGAGAGCAAAAGTGTTATAAAGTAATGTGTTAAGGGTAAAATTTGCTACAATTTTTGTTCTAAAAGTTTGTCTGTATCATGCTCGGAATACCGTTTTTTTTCCATTAACCACTTGTGAAACTACGAATTCTTCTCATTTTCATATTTTCGAATATTTCTCTACATTGATGCATCTGAGAGTAAAAGTGTTACAAAGTAATGTGTTAAGGGTTAAATTTGCTACAACTTTTATTCTAAAAGTTTTTCTGTATCATGCTCGGAATACCGATTTTTTCCATTAGTAACTTGTGAAACTACGAATTCTTCTAATTTTCATATTTTTGAATATTTCTCTACATTGATGCATCTGAGAGCAAAAGTGTTATAAAGTAATGTGTTAAGGGTTAAATTTGTTACAACTTTTGTTCTAAAAGTTTTTCTGTATCATGATCCTAATACCGTTTTTTTTATTAACCATTTGTGAAACTACGAATTCTTCTAATTTTCATATTTTCGAATATTTCTCTACATTGATGCATCTGAGAGCAAAAGTGTTATAAAGTAATGTGTTAAGCGTAAAATTTGCTACAACTTTTGTTCTAAAAGTTTTTCTGTATCATGCTTGGCTTACCAATTTTTTCCATTAACCACTTGTGAAACTACGAATTCTTCTAATTTTCATATTTGCGAATATATCTCTACATTGATGCATCTGAGAGCAAAAGTGTTATAAAATAATGTGTTAAGGGTAAAATTTGCTACAACTTTTGTTCTAAAAGTTTTTCTGTATCATGCTCGGAATACCGTTTTTTCCATTAACCACTTTTGAAACTACGAATTCTTCTAATTTTCATATTTTTGAATATTTCTCCACATTGTTGCATCTGAGAGCAAAAGTGTTATAAAGTAATGTGTTAAGGGTTAAATTTACTACAACTTTTATTCTAAAAGTTTTTCTATATCATGCTCGGGTAACCAATTTTTTCCATTAACCACTTATGAAACTACGAATTCTTCTAATTTTCATATTTTCGAATATTTCTCTACATTGATGCATCTGAGAGCAAAAGTGTTATAAAGTAATGTGTTAAGGGTAAAATTTGCTACAACTTTTGTCCTAAAAGTTTTTCTGTATCATGCTTCTAATACCGATTTTTTCCTACTCTTCTAATTTTCATATTATCGAATATTTCTCTACATTGATGCATCTAAGAGCGTAAGTGTTATAAAGCAATGTGTTAAGGGTAAAATTTGCTACAACTTTTCGAGATCAAAACTTTAAATAGCATAATTTTAAAGGAATTATAATAAAATTTAATTATATAATCGAAATTTATTTATTACAACTAATTAAGAAACATTTATTTTTATACAATTTAATGTAATTTATATCCATCCTCTTTTTTCAAACTCTAATAAAACAAATTCTAGTTTTTTGGCATAATTATCGTGCATAGAACTACCATCGGCTAAAATATCCTCTTCAGTTGTAGCGTTAGATAAATCTTTAGCTTCTCCTTTTTTAGTATAAATAGGTTGTAGCATAATTATCACATGATTCGCTTGGTAATTTTTGCCAATAAAATCGATATCATCCAAAAATGTGTCAAAAGTAAACTGTTCAGTATCACAATCCAATTTTTTTAACGTTTCCAAGAAATGGTCAAAGTAATATCTGATGAAGTAATCGACGTTGTTTTCAATGACTTCTAATTGGACGCTTGAGTAAAGTAAAAATAATAAATCCGTAGCTGGAGAGTTGTATTCTAAGACTTGGAAATCGACCATAATATTTTCAATTACTTTTCCATTTTCGTCGTATTTTAACATTGTGTTATTTACCCAGAAATCGTTGTGAACCATCGTGGCATATAATTCGTTAGGATCTAATTTTTCTAGTACTAAATCAAAAGCTTTTCTGGACATGTTTTCGATTCTTTCAAGTAAAGCCACTAACTTAGGATTGTTAGATGTTTTTTCTTTTATTAAACTCATGAATTTCTGGAATGATTCCTCTTCCGGTTTGAAGTTAAAATCTCTGTTTAAGTACGGGCGGATCTTTTTATTAAAGACTTCCGGTTTTTGAAGTTTCAATGCTAAAGGTGTTGCATGGAAAACGGCTAAATCTCTCAAAATTAATTTAGTTTCATCCATATTAAAACCGATAAATCTATCAGCCACCGTAAAACCTTTCACTTTTATATTTTCCAATAATAAAATAGCATCAGTATCAACTTCCGTTGAGTTCGGATCTAACGATATTCTAGCACCGACACATTTAGCTGTAAAATGCATTATATTTTTTATACCTTTTTCTTCTCCAAATTCATTTAAAGTTGGTACGATATCGTGATAAAACGAAATTTCCTTTTTAAACGTAACGGAGGTGTTAAACATTTTCCATATTACCGCCGACTGCGGGGTTGTTTTTCCAACACAACATAAAGTTTCTTCTTCACCATCCTTATCAACTTTAATTTTCACATCCAACATAACACTACCATAGTTTTCACCAAGCGATAACAAATTCTTACATTGATGCGAAACATATTTTGTGCCATTTTTCAAAACCGGTTCGATAACTTGTTCTATACACTTGATATCCATGATAAACAAATATGATTGTTTGAAGGTGAACAATACTTGAATGAATGTGTGATTTATTCTGTTACGTAATATAATGTGTACTCGAGACCACTAATTAACGAGATAACGTTAATAATACTATGGCAATAATTTAATGTGTGGTGTAATGTTGAGTGTTGGAGGAAAAAACTAAACTAAAACGGAAATTACGATTACGAGACTATTTAAACTCTAACTCGTTCGAGTAGGAGTTATATCAGTCAATAAGCTAAGTGATATCGTTAATGAAAAACTATCTCGGGATCAAATAACGTGCCGATTCAATGGCAATCGATAAAATATCTAGATAATTGCTATTGAATTATAAGCAAAAAATTACAATAACAAATTTGAGACACACAAAGGTTAATTACCCTAATATTAGTTATGCAGAGTTGCGTTGAAAAATCTATATATCTGAAATTTGAAGATTTGAAAGAATCATCTTGAAAATGTTAAATACCAAGTAAATTTGCTTTAAAATGTTTTTTATTTCATGATGATATCTCAATTCGTTCGTGAGTTACGCTTTTTTAAAATTTGTGTTTCATATCTAAACAATCAAACGTGCAGAGTTTGATTTAAAAAATCATAACAACGATGATTATGTAAAATAAGAAATTATTTATGGTGGATTAAATCTTCATTAAGTTTGCTTTAAACTGTTTTTTAGTTCATGATGATATCTAAATTCGTTCGTCAGTTACGATTTTTTAAAATTTGTGTTTCATATCTAAACAATCAAACATGTAGAGTTTGATTTAAAAAATCATAACAATGATGTTTATGGAAAGCAAGAAATCATTTATGGCACATTAAATCTTTATTAAATTTGCTTTAAAATGTTCTTTATTTCATGATGATATCTCAATTCCTTCGTGAGTTACGATTTTTTAAAATTTGTGTTTCATATCTAAACAATCAAACGTGCAGAGTTTGATTTAAAAAATCATAACAACGATGTTTATGGAAAGCGAGAAAGCATTTATGGTACATTAAATCTTTATCAAATTTGCTTTAAAATGTTTTTTATTTCATGATTATATCTCAATTCGTTCTTGAGTTACGATTTTTTAAAATTTGAGTTTCATATCTAAACATGATTTAAAAGATCATAACAACGATGTTTATGGAAAGAAAGAAATTGTTTATGGCACATTAAATCTTTATTAAATTTGCTTTAAAATGTTTTTTATTTCATTATTATATCTCAAATCGTTCTTGAGTTACGATTTTTTTAAATTTGAGTTTCATATCTAAACAATCAAACGTGCAGAGTTTGATTTAAAAAATCATAACAACGATGTTTATAGAAAGCAAGAAATCATTTATGGCACATTAAATCTTTATTAAATTTGCTTTAAAATGTTTTATATTTGATGATGATATCTCAATTCGTTCTCGAGTTACGACTTTTTAAAATTTGTGGTTTATATCTGTATCAAACATGCTGAGTTGGATTTAAAAAATCATAACAACGATGTTTATGGAAAGCAAGAAATCATTTATGGCACATTAAATATTCATCAAATTTGCTTTAAAATGATTTGTATTTCATGATGATATCTCAATTCGTTCTTAACTTACGATTTTTTAAAATTTGAGTTTCATATCTAAACAATCAAACGTGCAGAGTTTGATTTAAAAAATCATAACAACGATGTTTATGAAAAGCAAGAAATCATTTATGGCACATTAAATCTTCATCAAATTTGCTTTAAAATGTTTTTTATTTCATGATGATATCTCAATTCGTTCTTGAGTTATGCTTTTTTAAAATTTGTGTTTCATATCTAAACAATCAAACGTGCAGAGTTTGATTTAAAAAATCATAACAACGATGTTTATGGAAAACAAGAAATCATTTATGGCACATTAAATCTTTATTAAATTTGCTTTAAAATGTTTTTTATTTCATGATGATATCTCAATTCGTTCTTAACTTACGACTTTTTAAAATTTGTGTTTCATATCTGTATCAAACATGCTGAGTTGGATTTAAAAAATCATAACAACTATGTTTATGGAAAGCAAGAAATCATTTATGGCACATTAAATCTTCATTAAATTTGCTTTAAAATGTTTCTTATTTCATGATTATATCTCAATTCGTTCTTAACTTACGATTTTTTTAAATTTGTGTTTCATATCTAAACAATCAAACGTGCAGAGTTTGATTTAAAAGATCATAACAACGATGTTTATGGAAAGAAAGAAATTGTTTATGGCACATTAAATCTTTATTAAATTTGCTTTAAAATGTTTTTTATTTCATTATTATATCTCAAATCGTTCTTGAGTTACGATTTTTTTAAATTTGAGTTTCATATCTAAACAATCAAACGTGCAGAGTTTGATTTAAAAAATCATAACAACGATGTTTATAGAAAGCAAGAAATCATTTATGGCACATTAAATCTTTATTAAATTTGCTTTAAAATGTTCTTTATTTCATGATGATATCTCAATTCGTTCTTGAGATACAAGTTGTGTGAAATTTGGTGGTATTTAAGAATATTCTACAATTAATAGATATAAACTATTAATTACAACATTTCTATTTTTGCATTATAACATTTCAAAAATACCACATTCATGTGCTATAAAACGTTAACAATACTTGGAATATAAAAATTCATTGTTCATTGTTCTACGAAAAACGAAGAAAATGATTAAAATTGCAATTTTATTTTGCAAAAAATGGACTATTTTTATTTAATTCATACAAACTTAAAATTTATGTATCAATTGTATAACATCAATTTAAAATGTTTTATGAATTGTTTAGTTTTACAAATTGATTGCTTTCAGGGATGACGTAACATGTGTTGCGCAGCTGGTCAACTCACGATGATAATGTTATTTCTCAACAATACGATTTTTAAACAATTTAAGTTATAAACAATGATAACAGGCACACAAGTTCAAAAATCACAATGATTATAAAACAATACTGTGACTACATGATAAGAGAAATAAAAATCTAAGAAATTTTTGAAGTAAATTTTATTATAAATAAATTTAATTACAACCAACCGCGTTTCTCAAAATCTAATAAAACAAAATGTAATCTTTTGGCAAAATTTTCATGATAAATTTCGCTATTTTGGAAAATATCCCCCTCCCCATTCACATCCTTTAAATCTAAAGCTTCCCCTTTCAACTTCAACATAGGAAATAGCATGTATAAAATATGGGTAAGTTGAACTTGTTTCGCAGCAATTTCAATTTCTTCATCAAACGCCTTTTTGGTAAATTTGGATGTGTCACATCTCAAATCTTTTAAACATCTAATAAACGCCTCAAAATAAAAATCGATTAAATCATCAACGTGTTCTTCTAAAACTTCGATTTGGACACTACTGTATAAGAAAAATATTAAATCATGAGCTAACGATTCGTATTCGATTATTTGAAAATCCACCATCATATTGCTGATTGGTTCTTTATTTTTAAATTTAATCATGGTGTTATTAACCCAAAAGTCTTGATGGGTTATTGTGGCGAAAAGTTCTCTTATTTCAAATTCACCTTTAACCCATTTATTGTAATCATCCCAATGATGATCGATTTTATTGATAAGCGAAGCACATTTAGGATTTTTTGAAGCCGCTGGTTTCAAGACTTCAAAAAGTGCTTCACTAGGGCTGTAGAAAAAGCTCTTTTTCAAATAGGGTTTTAATTTTTTGTCGAATTCATTGGGGTACTCAAGTTTATACGCTAAAGGTGTCGCGTGGAAAACTGCCAAATCTTTTAAAATTAACTCAGCACACTCTTTAGAAAACCCATTAAATCTATCATCAATATCGTAACCTAAAACTTTTAAATTTTCTAAAAGAAGAACACCATCTCGATCGACTTCGGTTGAATTCGGATTTATGCTTAATCTAGCACCAAAACACTTTGGGATGAATGAAAATATATTTTCGATTCCTTTTTTTTGTCCAAAATTATTTAAAATTGGGGTAATCGTATCGTACAAAGCGATCTCTTTCTTAAACGTTTCTTTGGTGTTAAAAAACGACCATAACATTTCGGTGGGTGGTGTTGTTTTTCCCACACATTTCACCACTTCTTCTTTACCATCTTCATTAATTACTTTTACATCAACCGCTAATAAAGTACTACCATAATTTTCGCCAGAACCCAATAAACTTTTACAATCACACGAAACAAACTTTTTTCTTTTCAAAAAAGGCGTCACTAAACTTTCAAAATCTTTTATCTCCATTTTGCGAGAATTTTTTGAGCGAACAATGAACACTGAATGGTGAATAAACCTTGTTGCAATCTAACACTCCTATTTATGAGAAATCTAGAGATGCATTATCACCACTTATTACTGTGTGTAATTAGTAATTGCGTAATTTTATTGTTGAACCTCATTGGGTCATGATCGTTATGGTAAAGATGTTTATAAAATATATAGTTATTTGATTACTTCCTGAATTAAAATAGAAATTAAAACAGTTTGTTGTAGTTGGTTTTGATAAGATATGTAATTTTTGTGTCAATATTTTTGTTTTAATTAATAAACAATTTGGTAATTAAGAAATAATTTGCTTGTTTAATTGCTTAATTAATTCAAGTTGTCAGAAAAGGTTTCCAATGACTTATATGATAGATGTTATCTTAAATGTTAAATTTTTTTGCATCATGTATCTCCTAATTTAACCCTTTGTGTCCCAAGAAGTCAAACATTTTGAAACTTTGTGACAGAATCAGACAGAATTAAAACGCTATCAAAATACACTCAGTAAAGGCCTTTGCAATAAAATTTTAGCAAAATATGCAATCCCCTAAAAAGACGCTAATTCAAAAATTCCTGGAAACCGTGTTTATTGAAATTAAGAAATAAAACTTATTTTAAATTGAAGCTTGAAGCTTTCTGTTTAAATCGATGTATAACAATCGATGGGTTGAATTAAAAAAATATTGAGAAAAAGAGTATTGAGTTAAAACTAACATTTTCGTATAACCTAAAAGTGTCAAAAAAGATG